CCACAGGCTTCCCCTGCCACCCCCAGCGCACTGCGCTCATCACGCGCCTTCAGCCCCTGATCAATGCCTGCCCCATCGCCGAGCCCCCTGCAGGGTCCCTGCACAGGGCTTTGCTAACTCGGCAGGTTTGTGGTGATGGACCGTCAGATCCTGCCTCTGAATCTCCTTTTAGATTATGTGGGGTTTGGGTGTCAATCACTCTTGCTGACAAAGAAATCAAATCTCTCCACACAGCCTAGTGGTTTTGTAAAATATATTCTGAATCATATGAGCCAGAAGCCTTTATAAAGCTGCATTTGTGACCAAGACTTGACAAAAGAAGGAGAGTTGCAAATGAATGTACATTTTAATCTTTAAACCCCTTGGAAAGTCAGCTAGCTGTATGGAGCAACAGTAGGCAGATGAAAAAGGGGTGTTATTTGGGCTTGTACATGTAAATCTTAAGTGAAAAATTTGAACAAAAGTAGTGTCATTTTTTAAGAAAAACAAAACAAAAAAAATCATATTTGTGTTTGCAAGAAGGGTCAAAGCTTTGTGCAAACTCCTTTCACACAGCCTTTGGGAGCTGAGCATCATACAAGCAGCAAGTGTCTGAGGTAATTCACTGTGATTCACTCTAGGAGAAATTAAAAAACCTGTGATATTTTGAAAACCTTATTGTGTGATAGTTTCCATCTTCAGATGCCTGAATATTTTTAGATGTCTACCCTGATTTACCTGTCATATGCACAGACTTAAGGTGAGGCATTATCCCATTTTCTATATCTGGAAGTGAAGGTGCAGAGAAGTTGAACCATTTACCTGAGGAAGCACACAGGAACAGTCCCACCGGGTTAGAGCAAAGAACCACTTACTCCAGGAGACTGTGCTAAGGGGTGTCAGCAATGGAGGCTCAGGACAATGCTCTAAGTAATGGGCCTTGAGCTGTGTTTCCTTTCTTTTTCCTTCATAGTTACTGACCATTAGTGTACAGACTTCTTGAGACAGAGTGGCCTCCAGCAGACTGTGTTCAACACCCATCAACAGTGAGCTATTGGCTGAGAGTGGATCAAATCCAAATTTAGCCTCCTGTCTCATAAGTTGTATCCTTGCAAAGGTTGTCTGAAGCCTGGAATCAAATTCACCTTAAGACTGAAATCTACTGAAGATTAAAGCATAAAACAACTGTCCCCTGAGAATCTGGACACACAACTCAGCCTGACTTCCGGCACACAAGGTTTTCACGTGGGCTCTCTCACAGAATTTAAATTTTCCATCTGGATCCTGGCTCCACCACGGTGAACAGAAGTGTTGCAGAACCCCGAAGAGCCAGCTGTGCATTTCAGTTTGGTATTTGTGAGACTGAGCAAGGTGAGTCACTTATCGCAGTCGTTACATTCAACACGTCCCACAAGAGGAGCCGCTGAGAGCTTTCAAGAGCACTTCAAGGTTTGCTTTGCTGCAGTGCCTGTTGCAAAGGACTGCATTTTCCATTGTAATAATGCACTGCTTTAGAATGGATCCCAACAAGAAAAAAATGTCTTACGCTATTGCGGTATTACAATTTTAATAAATATTTTCCTTGTTTCCCAAGTACTCCATGGAAGCAAAGCAGGGAAGGAGTCGCTGCAAGCATCATCAACTAACAGCAGCAACTGAGAGAATCAAGGGATTTACCTGCCAGGCGTCGCTCACTCATCAGCTTGGCTTTCATTTGCCTTAAACACCCACTAAAGATTAGCAGCACTTTACATGCCCACTAAAAAGAAAAAGCACACTTCTAGGAAATTACCTGTATTGCATCTTACAGGATATTTGTGGCAGAGGGAGGGGTAGGTTTTGCAAATTCTTCCAAGAAAACCAATGCCTTCACTTAAAGAAAAAAGTCAGAAAAGCACAGGATGAGAAACAGAGGACAGTGGGAATGAGACTGCAGCAGCACAGATCCTTGGAACCTGGATAAGGTGGCAAGCCCGTTCTGCCAAGTGGTAACAGTCTCCATTCTTGCTGGAGTTAATGGACACCCAAATTCCTGGTGGAGAAAAAACATTTCTAAACTAAAACCTCTTTTACTCAGCTCTTCTTTCTGCTGAAGCAAAAAATCACTGAGTTCAAAATCAGTCAAAAGCTGATCCAACAGCTTATGCAAGTGAGTTTCTTGCCAAAGGAAGGAGTGCTGGAACAAATGAATAACTTAAAGAAAAATGGAGATACTGTGGTAACATGTAAAATAGTTTAATGGTGTGTTTGAGCCCATTAAAAATAGTGTATTTCTTACTGGAGTATGGAATTGAAGCAAGTATTTATATTTCAAAACAAAAAGCAAAAGCTAAATGTCATTTTGGCAATTATTAAGCAGTTAAATTTATTTTTTAAAATGGCATTAAATTTAAAGGTTATATTTGTACAGCACAATGCAGTATCATGTAAAAATGCCCTTACACTGAATGATTGAGAAGGGTATTGCCAGGGGAGCAAGGAGACAATTAATGCAAATAAAACTCCTGCTGCTTATGAAGGATGGTGAACCAAGGCAGAGTCGTGCTGTGAGGGCCAGGTCCCTTCTAGAATCAGAATTAGCTTGCAGACAAGTGATGCCAAAATTTCTGGACGGCAATGCCCTTTGCAATCCTGAAGGAGGCTACATTCACTTAGACACTTCACCTAAAGCTCATTCTGGTTTGCAGAGGTTTTCAGGCAGTCTTTCCAGATGCTGTGCTTGGTGTCCCTCTGCCATTATATTCCTCTGTATACGAGATTCAACACTGAAGGGGAACAAGTTCATAAAATGCAACTGATCCTTGCTTCAGCTAAAAAATTTGAGGTACTTCAAAAATAAGCAAATAGAATAAGGATCATATTTAGGGCTCTTGTGACAATCTGCACTGCTCAAAAAATCCATGTCTGCAGTCCCTATGGTAGTACTGGCCAATAAACTCCATTTAAAGCCAAAACTCTTGTTTGCCTGTGCAGACCTTCACCTTGACTGATGTCCTTTTCCCTCCATCCTCAATGTTAATTCTTACGGGCTGCTAGCACAAACCTGAAAATAGGGACTAAGGGAATTGGCTCTTCCATAGAAACATGAACATCTCAGGCAACACAGGAGGGGGGAAGGGGGCTTGATTTGAGTGATAACTTTGCAGCCATCCTTGGTAACAAAGCAGCCTGGCCAGGGTCCCCATCCCTTGGCGGGGCTGATCAGGATGTCACATGTGAGTCACACTGTGCTGTGTTCTGCTGGAAATGCTTGGGAATGAAAGAAGAGTTTCACAGAGACTGCTGAAATGAAGATGCTTTGTACAAAGGAAAATACAAGAGGTGGGAACATGTGGATGAACCAAGAGAGAGAAATTAAAAGGTAAAATTGACATGCTTGTGCATACTTTTTAATACAATTTTTATAATTTTTCTGTGAAAGACAGCCATCATTTTTCAATGTACTCCATAAATTGTCCTTGCAAAGAGATTTGCCCTTTTTGGCTCTTTCTCCAGTTAGGTGCTGCCTCAGTTATCTTCCTCCTGAGAGCCTGATTGGAGCTAACAAGCAAAAATACTGTTTTCTGTAATCTCACTTGTCTCTATTATACCTCCACTTGCCTCAGCCCCACAAAGTCACAACATAGCCTGGTTAGAGGCTGGAGAAGAAGCAAAAACCATGGTACAGCTCAGGGCTGATTCTCTCAATGAGACCAACATATTTCCTCATCTTCTGTCCCTAAGGTCTTCTGAAATTTACCATGCAAATGCAGAAAACTTCACCAACAACCTCCCTGTGCAATATCTCCTTGTTCCAGGCATAACTACAGCCAAATCTACCCACAAAGTTTTGCTAGCCTCCAGCTTCAAGATATTTGGAAAATAGAGAAAAGCAATTTAGAACTTTTTAATTTTTTTTTGCTTATTTCCTGCAATGAAGAAAAAAAAAATCATTTAACTAGAAGCACAGTACTTACCTTTTTTACTCTGACTGAAGCCATTGTTCACTGCCAAAGCTTTAGCTTATATTACCTTTTCAAAGTGCTGTAGTAACACAGGCACATCTTCAGCATCTTCCTTTTCTTATTTTTCATATTTAACCTCATTTATAGCTGTAAAAAACCTTGTTTGGAGATGGCAGATATTGCAATTGTTGCAAAAAAAAAAAAAAGTAAAAATAAAAACAACACTAGAAAGAATGGAACTAAGTCCCAAAAACACTAAGTCGCAGACATAACAAAAAGAAAGGCAGGTCATGTTTTAGAAGTAGAGTACAAAAAAAAAGTGGGTATTCATTAATTGTGGAAAACAGATACATACATACCACATGAGGACAGCATATGATACAGATCAATCACTATCCCCCAACTCTTATTCTCTTTTGTGAACTTTCCTTCTGTTTGTAGCAGTGTGCAGGTTTTACAGACTACTTGAACATTTTCTTCTTGCATCTTCCTATTTCCACGAGATCATTTCAACAGAGGCATTTCCACTCTCAGCAAAAGCAGACTGTTCCTGTTTGTATCAGGCAAAGCAGATGGAGAAAACACATCATTAATTTATGACTTAGAAGACACATTTGTATGACAGGACTTTGTAACACCCTACACTTCTTTTTTAATTTTTCATGACATTAATGAACAGATAGGAAAATAAAATTAGAAACAGGAGATTCCTCACAGTGGCAGTATTCTGTCCTCAATCCTCATGCTGCAATTACAGATCCTCTTCTACCACGAGCAGTTCCAGGTAAGGCTGTTCCTACTTCCTGCTATTCCCAGAACTCCAACATTGGTGTGTAAGGAATCAGGGCTGTCTGGTGGGGAAGGAGGGGTAGAGATGGGATTCTGGGGGCAACAGCACCTTCACTGAGCTAAGCAGCAACAGCAGAGCAGCACGTCAGGCCTCGGCCTTGGCCAGTGGGAGTCAGCCTAGTCCAGAGATCCCGTGTCTTCTTTGGTTCAGGATGGTGTCCAAGAGCATTTGGATACACCTGCCATGTCCTGCACGTGAGTGTTTCACTCTCTTGCTGGCAGAGGCCTGGGAATGAGCATTTAGAATGAGCCAAGTTCCCTGGGCTATTGGAGAGATCCAGTTGCCTGTGGCAGCTCCACAAGAGTAGGGCTGCTCTCTTGCAAACAGCTGGGATCTCCCTGTCTTACACTTGCAAGGTTTTCCAGCGGCCAGGGAGGAGAGGAGGGGTCAGAAATATTGCTCATCATGTTTAAACAAGAGACTCTGCTCTGCATGTCTACAGCAGAATTACTCCCAGAGCAAAAGAAAGCGTGTGCTTTCTCACTGCTCCCTTAACTCCTCTAACAGCTTCAAGAGCAAATGATCTGTGTGCCTCTGGGTGCTGTGGATAGCCCTTTGGGCTTTTTTATGGACCTCTGTGCAGCACAGCTATCAGTCAATGCTGACAGAGACAAGTTTATGAAAGTATGTACTCTTTGGAAGCTGGATCTGATTATTGGTTTTGTTTGTAAAACTGCTCCAATTGTGTAAGCTGTGACAGGCTCTAAGAGGGCAATTTAATTTTTTTAAGTTGGATGAAACAACTGCTGTTTTTACTTAATTGCCAGCTCTATTTCTCAGTACCAAGCAGAAAACAAATTCTATTCTATTTCCCATAATAAGCCAATTCAAATTAGGGTAATTACCATGGGATAATTGCAGACTACCTATGGTTAATTAGGGCACTGTGTGTTTACAACACTCCAGAACCATAAATACTTAATGATAACCACAGCTTCATAGACTGTTACCACTTAATTTAATATATTACATCATTATTATTGGGAGGGCTGGAGAGAAAAGAGGCAAAACCTTGAAACATGATCAGAAAAGCTGCAATGGGCTCTTTCTCCAGTAGTAAATCAGCTTGCCTGATAATGTCATTATGGTGAAAGATTCCCCTTTTTTAGACCATTTTGTGTTCACTCAGCAGAAGAAACAAGTGCACCATCACCAGCCCTGAGCTTGAACTCAGAGCTTAATGGCAAGCAGAAAAACAAAGGGAGATGAAGGATGGTGGTGGACTCAGTCGCCCCCATACAGCCCTGTCTTTCAGAGGCACCATGCTGGTGGAACAGTGGGAATTCAGGCTGCATTTTCACCCTGCTGAAAAACACTTCATGAAGCACAGGTATTCTTATTAGACAGAGAAACAAATATATGCAAATTTTACTAGGTGTGAAATACTGTCTCATCTCCTTGGAAATATGGGTGTCCTTCATTTAGTCATTATTTCATTGAAAATGTGACATCATAAGCAGTAAGAGAAAGTGAAAGCAAGCATTTGACTTCAGAACATGGAGAAATGCACAGGAAATTCCATCTGCAATTAGAACTAGGATCAGGAATATAAAACTCACAGAAACACCTCAGTTTGCTTGCTGGCCCCTTAAATTTGTCATACATGCAGAAATTAGCATTTAATAGAGCAAAGGAAATTTCCTAAAGCATATCCACATGTGGAGTGTGACCATGTGCAGTTTGCCAGTTGCGTAAAATAATTCTTAGTCTGTCAAAGTCTTTCTTTAAACATACAGAATTTCAGAATCCCCTTCCCAGACAACAGGGAGAAAATTAAAATATCAGTTCCTTCCTCTTCCTTATAGAAGAAAATACTGACATCTAATATGGCTGTAAGCATCCATTGTAGTATCCAGCTTTATCAGCACTTCATGATAAAATAGTCTCATTCATCTATAAATAAAAAGTTTAGCCAAATTTTTTGCTTATAACTTTTCTCAAAAACAGCCCTAACAGAGAAGCTGAGTTAATAACTCATGTTGCCAGTCTCCTTTGGGATAATCTCCCATTCAAGTGACAAACGTGACAACTGGTGAGTCTTTTTCTCCCCTTGAATTCTATTTTCTGAATAATACCACAACTGATGCAGAAGCATCTTTCTCAAACACCTCTATCATTCCTCAAAATGGAAAACTAGGTCTGTAGCACAAGAAGCTTCCTTGTATGAATGCCATGGCAATAGTAATGGACATTATTGCAGCCGGTCATCTTCCACTGATTTCCAGCCAGGACCATAAATCAGACATATTTGTATTAAATCCCTGAGTATAACTCAGCTGTTATATGAAGCTACAGGAGTTAGAGACATCCATGGGAATGATACTGTTTTATTGACACTCTGCATCTAACCACTGGGCTGTACAAACTGTGCTTCATCTGCCCCATTTTCTGTGGAAGCAGGAAAAGGGTGGCAGTGCTGCCAGCAATTTGTATCTCTGGAGCTGGCTGCAGTACTTTGTTGACCCATAAGTATTTCAATGGTTCCAGGTCTCTGGTTTAGACATA